ATTAACCGTTTGACAAAAGTAAGCGGGGAATTTTTTAGTTAAAATTAACGGAAAATTTCCCCCCTAAATTTAGCGGGGAAAACGTTTTCCGCTAGATTTAGCGGGAAAGCTTTGAAGCTAAATTTAGAGGGGAGAGTTTCCCATAATGCAAGCACGGTTACGCTGCGGTTTAAAAATCGGCCTGGTCCTGGGATCAACCAGGGACCTCTCCATTCCCCGCGGAGCACTCTACCAACTGAAAGAACCAAGAATTCGGCGTCACTAGAGCAAACGGGTGTCTTGTCACAGCCGCGACTTGCCGCAGGCGTGACAAGTCTAACAACAAAGGGAACGAACGATTTTGTTCCCCTTGTTTCCCTTCTCCAGGGATTATTATTGTGGTGTTATTCCAGCTCGCTGCACATTTCTATTAATTGCATTAACATCATAAACGTAGAATGCAAACCGTTCACCCTTATTGGTGTTCAGTTGATAGCTCAGTTGATGGATTGCTCTGCTGTAAATGGACGGGTTCCTGATTCTATATCAGGAAGAGGCGGATTTTTTCAGTAGTGCCGCAGTCATCTAGCTGAGTTTAGAGATTTCTGTTTGTCTTTGTCCACCTTGTTCGCCTCCTCCCGGGATTATTATTGTCATTGCAGTCCAGCTCGCTGCACGTGGGCATTTAATGCATTAACATCATGTTCATTTTCTGTTTCACAAAATAATATTATATAATATAATTGACTCAACTTATCCAGTGAAAGTGGCAAGTGATATTATATTACAGACGCAATGTCTGTAATTTATTATCACTCGTCATTTTCACTGAATGAGTTTAGTAAATTTTTTCATGCTACAAGTACATCGTCTGGCGGTAGGCATGTAGTGCTTATGAGGGAGCATATAAATAGCACCAAATATTCAGCTTGTACCACAGATTGGAACTGAGTTATAATTAAAATTCCGTGTTCTTGGAGTTTAGGTTTTGTCTAATTCGGAATTTATCGGAATTTATGTTTGTATGATTCCCATTCTCCGATATTTGAAGCTTAATTTCGCAGTGTTTCCCATTAGAAATAAATATATAACTAATAAACGGATGTATGCCAGATAAAAAGTTAAACGTGCTTGTATCGATTAAAATTTGTTCTGATGAATTTGGCATTTGTGCCATTTTTATTGGCATTACTAATTTGTCACGTGACAAAAATCGCACTAAAGTGTTGCCTCGATAAACACTTATACCTTAATATCAATCAACTCCAGGAGGTAGTCGCTGGAAAGCTCGTAGTAATCCCATCCTATTCCATCAACCTATCCCGCGGCCACGCGAGGTTGCGTGGTAAAGGATGTAATAGAGAAGTTTCAACCGTCCCTCTTTCCTAATTTATACAGTCTCTATGGTCAATTAGGTTTCAGCATTGCAAAAACATACCCTGACAAATCGCACGGCGCAAACTGGAAACGAAGACTGGCGTTTGTCATGAGCCGAATGTACGATGACCTGGTGCCCTGAACCAACCTCGACGAGACAGGCGGCAAGACCCCTTTTGAAAACGGTCTGAGATTTGTAAGATGATTATGGTGGCATTTTCTCAGAACTTTTGGTTGATCAAACTGTAAATAAACCGTCTTTTGCTCTTTTTTCTTCCTTTTTTTTTGCGCGGGGGGGGGGGGGGGGGGGGGGGGGGGGAGGGGGAGTGGCTTTGGTACACAAAACTTCTGACTTGATCAGATAAATTTGAATTTTACTCAAATTCTACCGGCCGGTGTTTTCGGAGTTTTTCGGATTAATCCGAAAACACGGAACCCTCGCCATAATAAAAAATATTTCGCAAAATAACCTTAAATCGTCTTTTTCTAGGCCAAGCCTGTGAGCTGTACGTGCAGAGCAAATATCTGAATGAAGATGAACTTCAGGAATGTAGAAGACATTATATGCACGCCTCTATTACTTCAAAAGATGACTAAATTGCGTTTCATTTGGGAACACCCACGTCCGTTGACAGATATTTTCCACAACTGCATGCTTCGGTATCAAAAAACTATTAAATATAGCTTCGGCCACTGATTTTCCCCACTTGGCCTCTCCACGTTCGAGGTAATGAGAGCACATTATACTTCCTGGCATAATAACTGCTAGAACAAACTCTTTGTATTCATGCAGTGGCCGCAAAAAGATATTTGCAGCACCTGACCTGTAAATCATAAAGCTACAGAAGAAAAATAACAAATAGCACCGAAGTAACACAAGAAGCAAGGCAAGAGGGACAAGATAAAGGCGTTGTTTTCCTTACCTATGAACCAAATGACCCAAATAACCATCTCACCAGAACAGCAAAAAGGCAATCATTTCGGAGGAACCTCCAATGGTGTCTCGAGGTACACATAAACAAGGAGCACTCTAGAAAATGTCTTGGATAATTACAGAAAACTCCGTACTTTGAACGACACACATGAAGTTTTAAAGAAGTTCTTTATGACAAGGACAATATGCTGCTACTATCTACGAAGGAAAAAAAAAAACATAAGGAAATATTTAACATGTTTCTCAGGAATCCCGGCATGTGCCTAGATGGTTGGCAGCACAGATAAACCAACCTCAGATTAAAAGCATTCTTCGAGATAAAACTTGTGGACAACTTTTCCTGCGTCCCTAAAATACTTGTTCTGGTGTCAGTGCGCCCGTTGCCGAGCGGTTATCGTGCTTGGCTCTCACGCAAAGAGCCGAGGTTCTATGCCTGGCCGCATATACACGTTTTTGTTGCTGCTGTAAATGTCGCGTTCTGGTAAATTTTAGAACCCTGTAGCTTATTCGAGGTTCGAACGTTCTAGGTGACGAACCTTTTACGCCGACTGTTTCAGAAGCCCACGCATGCACATACGGGGCTCCACGTGGCGAGCCGGAGTCAGCCTCGCTCCAGCGCTTAGCCCTGCTGTTCCACCGACGTCGACGCCTGTGACGCTAACCTTCCGGGATTTTTGGGGGGCCCAAGTTCGCCTCAATAAACGTTTAGTTTCTTCAGTTAATTCGCCGCCTCTACGTTTGTCATTCGTGACTCTAAGCAGTTGAAAGAGGGCTTGAGCTTATGTACACAGCTGGAATAGGAACACAATTGTAAGTTGCTTCATTTACATTTATGGTGGCGTGCCTTCTGTTACAGCATAAATGTGACGTGGATGGGCTACTATTTCGGCAGACACTTAAAACTGCTTACGTGTAGGAATACGAAATCATACACGCTCCTGCCAGCGGCGTGCCACGTCTTCTTTTTTTCCCACGGCGCTCCGGAGATGACATATCACGCTCCCCCACTGCGCAGGCGCGGCGAACCTCGCCGGCTTCACGACGGCTTCCGTGACGAAGCATTGCGTTGCTGTGCCTTTCTTTGTGTTTTATTTCTGAAGCGCGTCCGCTTTGCAGCGAATGGGAATTTATGTGCCGTTTCGCGCAGCCAATGATAATTTAGGTGCCGTTTCGCTCAGTCCATGGGTATTTAGGTGCCGCTGCTCTCAGCCACTTGGTATTTAGGTGCCGTTTTTGGCTGCTACAGTCATCAGATAACGCCGGCTCACTCCATGGAACATTTATTGCTTTCGCATTAATATAACACTGCAGCAGTAAATATGCTCCGTTGGAACGCTAATGCCATTTCGGTACACGAAAATATATAGGTTATAGCAAAACACTGTGTTTATTGAGCATTGCATTTTTGTTGAGTAATAAACGACGAGAACTTTCGTGTTTAATTGAGTAATAAAAACATTGTTGCCTTTGTAGCTAAGGGTGCATTTTTTAGAATGATGTCATAAAATTGCTTTGAATAATATACTTGTGTGTTGCACAATGAATGTGAGCAAAGGATTCCTAAATTCAGCAGCAACGCATTTTAACCACCATCTATACATAGAGGATTGCAAAAAAAGCTTTGTCAATTGCAAAAAAAAAAAGAAGATTTTTGTTCAATGCGTTGTGAACGAAATTAAAATACCTCCCTCCCCCCCCCCCTCCAAAAAAAAGAAAAAAAAGAGGAAAAGTCGCAACACTTCCAACACCAGAAAAAATGTTCCTTTGCCGGTGTTGGAAGTGCATTACAGGAGAAATAGGAGGGCAATGTAAAGCCTCAATTAATAAAAAAAATTCACGTGTGATAAGAAGAAGGCTGCCAGAACTCTTCTAAAACTGTTTCACACTAGCGAACAGAAAATCACGACGGTATTGATGAAACGCGTACTAAACACGTGTTTGTCTTATTTGCGTGTTCAGCTTTTTGCAATAGGCTAAAATATTCCTGGCACAAAACAAAATATTGCCGCTAACTGAAAGAGAACAACGTGAACTATAGGACGCTTGAGTAAAGCCTGGTTCAGACAGTTGCGTTTGACTGCGTTTGACTGCGTTGCGGCTGCGAGACATCAGGACATCCCTGCTGCGTATATCGCGAGCCAAGATGATTCCTTGAATTGGATTCCACGCCTCATACGAAGCACAGATGTGCCGGTGACTCGCTTGCGACTCTCAACGCAACGCAGTCAAACGCACTCAAACGCAAGTGTCTGAACCGGCCTTAAGACTTCATAATAGTCCGATCCCACTAAGCGTTCGGCGCATGCCTGAAGCCGCCCTAACTTTAGTTCAAAGGAAGCATATGGCAGTGCACGAGAAGTCTCGTGTGGCTGCTCGTGGTCTACAGGTGTAGGGCTCCAGCGAGGTTGTCGCACGTGCAGAAAGACTAAAGTTCCCTCGATGTATTGCAGCAACGGTGGCGTAGTCAAACTGTCTGCTGAGATCAGCCTATTGTCCATTTTTATCAACAAATAAAAACATAAAATGTTAGGAGCTTCAACTTTTTTGAAATGCCTGATGACGCAAAAGCCCTAACACACAATTGCATGTGGAGTTCCTTCACGCAAGGCAGTGAAAGGTTAAACACGTGAAATGTCAAACATTAATTTGCTCCGAGTATAAATGCTCCGATTTGCAACCACAAGAGTATCTCTACAGTTGCTGCATTAAGATGGAACTGATACTTTGTTCCTTTTTATGGTGTTTCTTAGCAATACTTGTCGATGCGACACCGGGGGAAACACGAATGGACGAGGACAAAAATTATTGGCAATATCAAGACATTCAAAAGGCAAGTTTGAATTTAATTTGACATGATATTTTTGAATTTTTGTGTCAGCCATATTACTCAAGTGAGTCAGTGGAGTGAGTTTTGCTATTATTCATTCTAGAAAAGTTTATATGGACTGATGAATTTCCGAATGATTAAAATGGGAAGAAAGAAAACTAATTACCAAATATCAGACTTGTGCTTGTTACCTGAAAAATGTAATGGATTACAATTACAAATTGCCGAGCCTCAAATGTAATGGATTACTGTTACAAATTACTTTCGCTGAAAAATAATGGGTTACTTTACTGGTTACGTTACAAATTAGTTTCACGTTACTTTTTTCGTACAGTTATCCCGAAAACTATCGAAGCAATTTTGAAATCTTTTTCAAAAATGTTTTCCCCACACTAATTTTCCTTTCTCATACGCCCGTCTTATGGTGGTTCTCGTAACAATGAAATATTGTATTCAAGAAAAAGAGTGTAGGTGCACTCCGTTCACCTGTAAGCTGACAAGGCACCGAAAGCTGCAACCCCACCCGCCATCCCGCTAGCTTACGGCATCCGGAAATGATCCCTCGAATTGTGCAGACAAACTCCTAGCGGTGCGTATCCTCAGTAGCAGTGTCTACCTCTGCTGCGAGATTCGGAGATAAACAAGCGATCTACGAAAGCTCCCTTTTGACTCGGGTGTTTCGCCTGTTATTCACAAAAAAAAGAACAACTTGGTTCTAACATTACAATACATAGCCTCTCTTTCTTTAGAAGTAACCACCAAATTTTCATATTTTGATCTGTTATATTCTTCGTACGCAAGTCAAATAAGAGCTGCTGTATCTAAACGTATTTTTGAAGAGGACGCCTTCTTGAATGGTGAAGGTTGGCAATGCTCTTGAGAAGACACAGGTCGTCCTCCCAATCGGAGCGCGCAGTACAGGATCGTCGCGCTAGAGTTTCGCCATGTCATTGACGTTCCTGCTCCTAGGAAGCTCCCGTCGTCGCTGTTGGTGCAGATGGGAGCTGGCTCGAAGGTTGCTCTGGAGAGGCACTCAGCGTCGCTGTTATTTCTGCCTGACTTGAAGACTACGGTCACGTCGGACTCTTGTGGTCATAGGTTCCATTGAGCAAGGAGTCCTAATGGATCTTTAATCATCTCAAGACGGGTTTCCGTACAAATACGGTCGGAATTTTGTTAATGGCCAGACAACGGTACAGGCCTTCCTTATCACTCGTCGAGTAATTTTGCTCCGCGTTCCACTAAGCGCGCCTATAACGTAGGCGATTACTCGCTCGGTTCTTTCTTGCCTCGTCTCGACTCCTAGTAATGCCACGCAGCCATAGTTGCCGGTAGAGACAACGGCGGTAGATGTAATCGGCATCCCCGCGGTGATACCACAGCGGCCGACGGTCGCCTGTTCGCCGCACGTTGGTCTCAATCGGTGCAGGTGGTTCCGGGCGGGCGCACTGGGCCCGGTCGTCTTGGTGTCGAACATAATGTTGCCTCCAAGTGTCCCGTCGATTCGGCACCTAGTACTGACGGGGAACTGGTGGTGGCCTCCTGGAGATCGCAGCGTACGGTATCGAAGGGGCTTCATCAAGGGCTGTCACAGCGTTGATGGGAGTCTGCAGTTGAACGGCTCGCTGAGCTTCCTCTCGTGCTACTTCGGCGACGGAGAGTGAAGCCGGACGATCGGCAGCAGCCATTAATTTCATTAGCTCTTTATAGATGACGTCGCGGAAAGAGGCTGGTGCCAGCATCAAGGCTAGTCGACGCAGGGGCAGCAACGTTGGGTAGTCGCTGGTAATGGATGGCTCACTCTTGTATGGCCCGTTCGATGTCTGTGGCCTCCGTCACGAATGAATCGACGGTCGCAGGAGACTTTCGCACAAAGCCTTAGAAGGTACTTTCCTTTACTCCTTGCATGAGGGTATTAACATTCTTCGGTTCCTGCGCAAGGGGTTCTGCGCGGTTGAATAGTTGGAGGACGTCTTCGACGAACCTGAGGAAGCTTTCATTTGGTCCTTGAACTATCGCCTGGAGCAGTTCTTCAGCGCGTTTCCGAAGCTGCTGGCTCGCAAAGGCGTGGCGTAGCTGCTCTTTGCACGTTTCCTTGGAGGTGATTACTTCTTCGTGGATTTCTAACCAGAGCGGGGCCGTCCCATCCAATGAGAAGGAGATTTTTCGGCACTCTGCTCTTGTGTCCATCAGTAATGCATATGGACACAAGAGCAGAACGTCCATAGTAAAGTGCAGTAGATAAGGAGCCCAGCGGGGCCTTGCCCACTCACTCTCGGACTCACGCTCTATCCAGCTGTCACGCCGACACCCCAAAGTTTGCTGCTGCTTTCTCGGCGCTCTTTAATTTATTTCTTGCACAAGTTCACCGATTAAACCTTTATTTGGAGTTTTACGTTTGACGATCATTTTCTATCCGCGACATTTTTGGTGAAGGTGCGTGCGAAGAGAGAGTAAACAGAGAATCTTCTAGAAGTACGGAGAAGCGTTCCCTCTTGACCATGCACGCGGCATTACGGGGCAAAATAAATCGTTCTCAAAATTGTATGTTGCAATCTGTGAGCTATACGTATAAGATCGACTTTTTTAATTTCAGGCTCTGAATAACCCCGATCGAGAATCTTGGTTGTACTATCGAACATATACAAGGGAGAACACTTGTGTGTATGCGAAAGTGAGCGAAAATAAACCGGCTGAAAACGTTTACGAATTTGTCCAGGAATATAGAATGGGAAACCAAAACACAAGCACGAAGTAAGCTAATTAAGCATTTTATATATTATTTGAGGCAATTTTGAAGACATTAACCACTGTGTTCATTCTGTTTAGACGAACGGTGACATTGTATGCAGCTCCTTATAAAACAGATATGCATGTTGACGAACGAGAAAATGACAACGCAATGCTCGTGAGCAAGATAAAAGGTAAGAAAAAGAGTGCAACATAGGTTTCATCAGATCTCGCTTATGTAAAGAAATAGTAAAATATATTTTTCTCAGATTTTAAGATCTTATATTTTGCTTCTAATTCCAAGGGCTACTCGTATGCCCCAGATTTTGGGCACTACGTTGAAATAAAAGTCTTTATGAAACATCGGATGATGACTAGGAGATGAGTCGCTTTGCGGCGTCACCGTTGATTTACAAACCCATGTAAAAAAAGAGAGCCTTCAGTGTGCTTGTGAATTTGATTTAATTAAATTGAACGCTAACTCATGCATAAATCAACATGTGCGCCGCGTTAGAATTGGATAATTCAGGAGTGGCGTGGAAAAGCCGAGTCATAAAAAGCCTCGGTAATTCTTTTCCAATACTGCTTTTTATATTTTACCTCAATCTAAAAGAAACAAACACTTAGTGAAAGTAAACACATATTCAGCAAAGATGTTTTATTTCAAGTGCAATTTCTGTTATATAAGCAGTTTTAACAACTTGTTCATGGAACCGTTAAGCAAATTTTAATCTTTTTTTTAGATAATCGTTCTTAGTTACCTAATACAGCTGTTTGGCAAATATTTCTTAACTGTAAATGCCGCGTTCTAAAAAGTGCAAGGTTCCCCCTTCTCAAGAAAGAATGTACAGAGTTTTATTTAGTGCGAAGAAAAACAATGCATCGCAAAACGCTTATTTTCTCGCAAAGTTTAACTTTAGTAGTTCGAACCAGATACTAAACTTACAAAAGTAACCGTTATCTTATGAAGAAGTTAGATGTGATTTTTTCATATTTTCAATGAGAGAATGGCGCCGACGGAGCTCTCGAGTGCATAGAGCTAAATAAGGCCAGTTCCCGAAAGCGGGCCAAGTTTTTTAATTGAAATTTTCAGAAAATCACTAATAATTTTTGAATGAGATAAAGGTTAGTTCAAAGATTTTGTAATCTGGTTCAAACCGTTAGCTTCATATTCGGCCGCAGAATGAACGTTCGGCAATGCGTAGTTTATTTTTGTGGTAAAAAATAACAATGTGCATTTTGTTTACACCCGGTTCTGCGGTTGAGCGGGAAGCATGACATAGGGAGGGTACATTTCTTAGCGGCATCCACCCAATTTCTAACAAAAACTATAGTTCACGACAATCAGCCAAAAAGAATGGAAACTACACCTCGATTTCCCCTCTCCATGCGAGAAAAAAGGACAGCGACAATTTGAAAAAATAAAACGCAAAGGTCGAGGGCAGACGACCTCTCTCTTACAGACTCGACGCTCTCTGAACGATTGCTAAAGTGGGCATTACAATGAAGCAAATTATAACTGAACATCCCCTACAGGGATTCATGTAACACGCTTCTTCAGCTGTGCACAAAGTTAAGCCGATACAAAGACCTTGGGGGTGTAGGTTCAGGTGGAGAGGCGGCATTATCAGCGCCATAGATAAAAAAAAAAGATTTCAAGCTGATCGCTTTATCAAAGTACAAAATAACGTCTCATCTGCGTCACTAACCGTGACAAAGCGTGAGGTAGAATTTTTTAACCACAATTACATGCATTCAAGAAATGCATGTAATTGCACAATCGAGAAAAAAAAGTATTTTTAATCAGTCTCGTTTCTCTTTTTTTTTTTTACTTTCCTCATTTCTAGATTAATTTACCTCGCTGCTCCTTCTAACTGCAAGAGAGTGGTTGTCTGTTTTTCCCTTTGTGTTTTTATTCTTCAAAATTGACGTAATTATTTCACAGCACGGTTGCATCGATTGAAAAAAGGAGACAATCCTTCTTTCCACGAGGAGCAGCTTAGAGATCCTGTCTTTTGGGGAGAAAAAAAAAAGAAGAAAAGGGAGCTAGTGGGAATGGAGAGGTCACTGGTAAAGGTTTTTGCGCCTTGCGGAACGTGATTCTCTAGGTCGTTGTTAAGGGCCTTTAGCAAACACCTCTTATATAAAGCCTAGGTGCTAAATTTTCCTGCTTCACTAAAGATGACCACCCTAAAGCAGAGATTGGACACGATTACAACGCCAGCGTCCGGTTGGATCTCGTGTCCAATGAGTGAGGACACGACTCTTAGCCGAATTCTGATGCCGTAGTCGATTCCAATCTCTGGCCGAAGGTGACCTTCTTTAGTGACGCACGAAAATTCAGCACTTTGTTTTTCTTATCTAGGTGTTGCTTTAGCGTGCTCTCAGCGAATGGGCTTTTAGCTCCAGGGCTCCTAATGCCTTGACGCTGCCATAGATATACTTTTGTACGAGCTTGGAAAGTCAGTTGCAAAAATCGTCCGCCTGCTGCAGATTATCACAAATGGAATCGGCACACAAGTTTTGGAAACATAAGTTACTGATTCTCGCAATGCACCTCCGTATAGTTCGGATAAACATAATCCAAAAATGGCAGCATTCAAAGACTCCATACAATTGATAAAATAATATAACTCCACTTACCCCATGGGTACCGCCACAATAATGATGAATATAGCTTGTTCTGAAAACAAAATCAATGAACTGTTTAACGATGAAGCAGGTGTGGATCTCCTAAATCTATCAGCGTTCGTGCACTCAAAATGTTGCGGACCACGCAGTTTGATTGCTGTTTGAGCATACTGGAATGTCCCAGGGTACAGAAAAAACATTTCGTTTCAGCTTTCGTTTCCTTCGGGTATAATGATTTTTTTTCTTAGCAGGCGCAGACTATGAGAATGGGCGGACGCGTTAGCCTGTAAAGCCCACTGAAGATGAAGCCTATAAAGTCCACTGAAATCCCCACGAATATTACATCACATGTTTATTGACTGCTCTTACACTTGCAGTGGCTATGATCAAGATTAGTGACAACTGTTAACGTCTATTTGCTTTACAGACTACCAGTTCCTGGTTAACTCAGTAGATAAAGGGCTCCGCAATACTTGTGGAGGTCCCAGAATTGAATCCCGGACCAGGCTGATTTTTTTAACGGTGACAGTGCAGTGCGCGATATGCGCTTCATTTCAGGTGGAAATCAATCTAACCATACGTAAAGGTTCCGTCCTTCGGGGACTTTTTATAAAACCAATTATACCAAAAATGTAGGAAAAAATAGTGCGTGCACAGGCAGGACAGACACATGTATGTTGAATAACATAGGACTTGTTGTAGCGCCACATTTGGCCCCAAGTAACTGTATTACAACATTAATTAGTAAAGACCGAACAATATTCCGAAGAACGTTAGGGCACAGTACTAGAAGTCAAGAATAAAAATTTTGAGAGTTTTGACATTTTCTCATTGTGGCTCCAGACTAATAAAAGTTTTGCCATGCCGCTCCAAAACCTATTCATGTTCAGAGTTATGTCAGTTTTAGTCACCGCTCGAAGTTGATCAGATCAACTCAACTAATATTTGCCAGATATTTTGGAAAAAGCATTCCTCGCGTGATAAGCCCTGTGCCTGGTGCCTTTCCCACCGCTCCGTAGTGTGAGCTGTGCTGAGCATTTATGACTCTACAGCTCATGCTGAATCCCAGTTTTGTCTACTAGCACAAGAGCAGCCAATTGAATCTTGGTTACACAAAATATTTAAGCGATTTCAAAGAGGCCCCAGTACCTCAAATTATGCCTTTTATATTATTATTACTGCTTCCCTTTGTTTCTCCTGGAGACCTGTATATGTCATCCAGACCCATGCAAAACGCCGATCGGCTGAAAGAGCTAAAATTGCAAATTAGCAGAAGCCTTAGTTAAGACGAGAGGTCACGACTGAAGTACTTGTGAAAGAGATTTTGATTTGATGGTTGTGTAGAAGTATCCTTAAAGACAGAGCAGCGCGATTAAATCAGAATTTTTTACCGATAACACGATATGTTGTGACATACGGTTTGTTCTTGTACTGACTTGATATCAATTGAGCTGCGCAAATTTCAACAGAAAATAAAATTATTCGGTTCCCAGTGGCATTTCTCGAAGATTATTTTCCGGAAGCACCTAATTTCTAATTCGCCTGAAACATACTACACCACGCCATAAAATTACTAAAAGGTGTCCACTTTGTCTTTAAAAGCAGATGTTAAGCAAAAAAGCACACTTTAAGACTGTAAAGTATTCTAAAATTAGAAATAACGCTATTATCAATAAATCTCTACACCAGATAGAAAGTGTCATATTCAGAGGAATCGGCATGTATTGCACAAGAAAATATTGAACAATATATATTTCATTTATAATTACGAGCCTAAATTCTGTCACTAAGAATTATCGTCAGGCTTCTCAAAGAATTTCAGAGGCGTAATTAATTAAAAATCTTTTTTTAGATGCCCAAACTGGAAAAAGATACCAGTTGATTTACTCTGACTATACCCAATGTGATATTCTAAGAGTTCTCGACGAAAGCAACGGTGAGTGTGATTTGATTATATTACTTAGTTTCCTCAGCTTTAAAAAGATATATATGAGAATGGAAAAAAAACAAGAAAGAATTTAGGTACATTCAGCATTTTTAGCGTCCTAAGAACATACAAATTGGTCGCTTCACGAAGTTTGTTTATTTATTTATTAATATTGTTGCTTATTTATTTATTATCTACATCGCCCCGGGTACATTACTACAGCGGGCATTATAATAAAATAGGTTTTGGCACATGTACCAAAAGCAGTGTTTCGAAACACAACTATTTGACCAAAGTACAATATACATAGAATAATATTGTAAAAAGAAAAGTACACCATAAAAAGAAGAGATAATAACACTCAAATAAAAGTTATAGATTTAATGAAAAGGGTAGACAGCGTTGGATCGGAAGTTTTTGTGACGACGTGTTCTGTTAGGAAGTCATGGATCGACCTTGGAAAGGAGTTTTTGAATAATTGCGCTCTCCATCTAAACTTTTTTTTTCAATAAATAATCTATATCCGATGAAATGTTATCTTGGTTATGAAGATATTTATCCTTGTTAATTTATGCCGGTTTTAAGAGGATTTCGCTGCTTAATTAGAACTAAATAGGGACATTTTACAATTCCAGACGGCACTGCAAGTGCTGCCTTCCTACTAGTTCGGACTGCGGTAGTCGCGAAAGAGTTCCCTTTTTCCATAAAAAAAATAAAGAAAACACACCGTCTTTTGCTCAGCATATCCTTGGACGCGTGTCTAGAAGATTATCTCATTGTTTTAATATTAGGCAGAAACAAAAGACGAAGACTGTTGGAGGTGGAGGCATTGTACGCCATTCGTATGTTCAGTTTGTGTTACGCGAGTTTGGGCTGGATGCAGGGAAACAGAAATTTTGTCGAAATACTAGTACAAGTTTAGATTGCCCTGCTCACCAAAGCTCAACGGAACGTATTCTCTTCTGGCAAAGATCATACTTCGAAATCAAATGAAATATAATTTTATATTATATCACCCAAATTACTTGACGTACGAAAAAAAGAGAAATGGGGCTTGACTTTGTCCATGCCCCGCCAAATTCGTATGACAATGGTACAGCATATCATTTATACAAAAAAATCTTAGTTTCACCTTAACGAGGTATTTCATGGAGCTTCGAAATTTCATTTTATTTCCACGCTCGACCACTGATTAAATGATACTTTCTCTTTCTTAAAAGCGTAAAGTTTGAGTGTATACTTCATTGAGAGATTTCCATCTGCTAAACTGGGGCATTTCATAGGCAGGCCACAGAAAAGACCTTAATCCTTGCCCACCCATAAACGGCAAGTTCCTTTCCGGCGATGTTTTTAGAAAGCATAACTAGTACTGATTTTCTTTATAGGGCACGCCTGTGAGCTCTATCTTCACAGCAACGCTGTTGATGGTGGTGTACCTCAAAAATGTGAGAGGGTATATGGTAATGCATGCGGGAAAGATGACTCATACTACACGCAGCAAGTATACTACCAATGGTGCAAGGAGAACATGGAAGGCCAAATATAAACAACTTCAGCAGAGGCCACCCAACAAGAACAGACGGAAGAAGTTATAACCACAACAACGTTGCCTCCTAAATGCTGACACTTTTTTTCTTTTATGAATATTTATGGGAGTTAAAATAAAGTACCTACACATACGCTCATAAAGCAGTCCCTATGAATCGTAATTTGATTCAATATAATGCTTTATTTAAATATGCTGTGTGATGGGTTTTGTATTGTGCGAAAATACATGTTTGAGTAAATCCATGACGTTTATAACCTATGAAACACCCGTTAGAATTAATTGGGGGTAGTTGGTTGTACATCTTGACAGTGGTTTTAAAAGCGCAAAGGGCTAAGAAGAGAAGGTGTGCTCTGTCTTGTCTCCTTCTTCTCTTCTTAGTCCTTTGCGCTTTTAAAACCACCGTCTAAACACCCGCTAGTTTCTATTCCTCACAAAATAGTGGCCGCCGAAAAAGGTAAAGAAAAACGTGCAGCGTACACCCCTTCAACTCCTAGCCAGAACTAGCAGCCACATACTCTAGAGCAGAATATATGCGGCTAATGTTTATAATAATCCCGCGCTGGATTTTGATTAACCCCTGAGTTGGAGCCATTGTTAGGTTTTGTCTCATGTCGTCCTTGCATCGATTGAGCACGAGCCACTACCCGAACGACAGTGAATATGACGAGCACAAATCGAGTTCTCACACAATGCTCGGGTCTATACTATGAGCTGGATTTCAATATCATCTTTTGGTAGACTATGTCAACACCGCAGCCCTCGAGCTACGCCATCAAACTTTGGAACAAAGAACAAAATTGGAAGATTGTTTTTTGGTTTTTTGTTTTGAAATTACACCGCAACAAAAAATGGTTTTTGGTCAGTGGTGATACAGGTTAGTATAAGTGAGACGTAATAGTGCCTTAAGTTTGTTTAAAGTGTAATACATTTCAACTGAATTTTCTTGCTCTGAACTTTTAAACTAGATTTGTTATTACAAACGCGATTTTTAATGCAAAAAATGACTCACATGCTTAAACGTATTTACAAATGGAATTTTGTGCTCATTGTTCCCATTCATAAGAGTGCTTCAATTTTTTAACAACAGTCAAAATGCTATGTTATCAGATGGAGGATAACGAGAGGAGGAGGGGAGGAGGAGAAAATACGGCGGAGGGCATAACTTTCCCTACGTACCCTTCCTTCCTCCTCCTCAAGAGCTGCGCTCTAATTTCGCATTAGAGAGATTTGTAAACGTCTTTCATTTTTTCTGGATCAATATTCTTTTAAACGTTGAAGTGCTGAATGTTACTACGTGTAGGAAAGAAAAGTTTCCGTCTTAAGTACTGTGTCTAAGTGCTGTATACTTTAGGTTATGTTCTAGGATTTCACATGATATAATCTACTCATTTATTAATGCGATATTATTCTTTAGAAAAAAAACCTTCCCCGATTTCGTAAGGCCTCCCTGGCGTCCTCAGGTAGTTTCCCTGCTAAATTTATCCGAAAAGCTGACGTCGCGTGACCTATACACCAGTTGAGTTTCCCCACTAAGTTTAGTGGGAAATTTGATGTCAGGTGACCTACAACCCAATTCAGCTTATTAAGTACCGGAAGCACAAGCGGCGCAGCTACCTGAACCGTGTGAACCTCCTCATCAAAAAAGCTAGTACAAACGCCCAGACCCTCACCCTTTCACGCTGGACTGCCCATTGCGAATCTTTCGACAGGACTTCAGAGCTAGGCAAGGTGTGGCGAACTCTTAACGCTATGTATGGCGAAAGCAAGTCATGTAGCCCTGTCCCTCCCTTGGTCCTGCTTTTGGCAGACACCGCGAGGAAGACAATATCATTCGTGTCCAGCTCGCTTGCACCTTTGCATTTAATCGATTTGCAATCATAACCGTGGAAGATATCCTGGACCAGCTTGGCTCAGTATTTTTCCCGCAACCTGACGATCTCCCCTCTTCCGATGTGTATAGACCCATATATGCAGACATCGTGGAAACAGAAAGCCATGGGAACTAGCCATTCATCGAGGGGGAACTTGATTTAGGGACCGCCCAGTGCATACCTAAGAGTGCCCCCCGCCCGGATGAAGGTTCAGCCACGATGCTTCGTAAAGCACCTCATGTCGCTCGGGTAGATATCCTTCAATGCCTTAAGACCATCTGGCACACGGGGGATCTCTCTGAACATTAAAAAATGTCATTGGTTACCCTCTTCCCCACACCCGGCATACCACCGACCGACCCGCAAAACCTGCGTCCAGTCTCTTTTACATACATCATGCTAAAACTGATGGAACGAATGGTTCTTGCACTTAGTCAGTGGTAAGCATAGGAACTCAGGATCTTTCAGCTCACAAAACGGGGTTCCGCAAGAATTTGGGTACCCACAACAGTGTGGCCATAATTTACCATGATGTCGCTGACTGGCAGCCCATCAGCCAGAAGCTCCGGGCCGCGGTCATGGCGGTCATCAAGAATGCCTTTGACATGGTCCCACCGGAAGCCGTTGTCTCCTCGATTTACGAGCAAAGCCCAGAGCGCAAGCATCCAGATTTTGTGTGCTCATGTCTGGCCGGCCGCCGCTACCTCGTGAAGTAAAGCTACGGTTCTGACGCGCGTAGCAGTACTACCAAGGAGAGCAACATTGAAGTCCCTTAAGAAGCTCTGTTGTCGACAACATTATTCAATATTGTCGAGGAACCGCTCCTCTTTTTCCTCCTTCGTATCCTGATCCCATGAGGTATACTGCCTACGCATATGAGGTTACCATCTGGACATGCCAAGGCTCGGTTTTGACGCCGAAAACAGCGCTCCAGACAGGTCTGAATGCCATCCACGTCCCCCTTCGCCGCGTCGGCATGTCTCTGTCCCCAGAAAAAAACAACGAAGTACATGTTTTTACGGCCGAGGGCATTCTACTTTTGACTTGGGCCTCACTTTCGACGGTAGTCTCATAAGCAAGGAGCCTCTCATAAAGATCCTGAATAAATTTTGGATACAGCTCTCGAGTGGCAGTCGAATGGGTTAAGTCTATTTCGCGGCAATGAAAACACAGCCTATACACCTCGTCCATCGCATTGCCCATCGCCCGGGCGGCGCGGGAGAACGTATCGCCAAACTTCTGGTCACATCCGTCCTTACTTCGAAGGTGGTCTATGCTTCGTGCTTTTACTCCCTCAAACGAGTCCATTTTGACAAGATTATGACGCTGTGTAACGAGGCCCGCCGAAACATCCTTGGGCTCCCTCGACACACACGAACGTCAGAGCTTCGCATCTGTGGCACCTCGTCCACCCTCGAGAAACACTAGAGCAACAACTGGACATGCACATGACCTGACTTGTGCATACGCTTCAGGGAAGGGCTTTTGCTCGCTTGATTAGAGTAGCTGGGACCAACATCAACGACCTGCCTCCTACCGAGCTTCCATGGGATCTCCTTGATCTCACGCAACATGCCCGGCCTGTCGCGAGAAATATGGATACCAAGCGACACGCCAAGCGTCGAGAGAATTACTTGCGTCAACACCAAGCCGAGGTCACCGCATTATCTCAGAACACTGAATGGGTCATCGCCCATACGGATGCTGCCCTGCGGACATCCGGTCGATCTGCGACAGCTGCGGTGTGCCCGTCCCATGACCCTGCGGGGTGTGATCCTATCATCGTAGCAACCACCAACACGACCCTTTCATCGCTCCAGCAAGTCGAAGCCCGCGCCATCCTCCTTGCCCCAATGGTGTACCAACTTGTTTTTGAGTAGGGGGCCGGTGCGACCGGGAGTTACGTCATGGGGGCGGTGTACTCACTGCTTTACGAAATCACATTGTAGTTTACTTGGTTCATGTTCCCAGTTATCTTTAAATGCTGTGGTTACGGCTTCATTCCCCCTCCTCGTGTATTTTCCTCGGTGTGCGCTACAGACCGCCGGAATTTGTTAAAGGTTTTTTTTAGAAGCTTCACGGCGCACACTTTTTTATTTCCAACCAATCCTTCAATGCATCATGCATTCTCTTAGATGACTTCAACTGTCCTGCCATAATCTGGGATACTCCTTTATTTTCAAACCACACTTCAGGGGTACTTGTGGATACCTGCCTTACATTTAATTTCTCTCAGATGATCACACAACCAACGAGATCCACTGATAACACAAGTCATATCCTCGACCTCTGACTCACTATTGACGCTGCACTTGTAATATTATAATACATCATTCACCTTTTAGAGATCATGCCGTCATTCATCAAAATTTTGCGTTGGAGGTTCAGAAAAGGTCGCCATACTTAAAAACTATTAAAAACTATAATAAAGCTAACTATAGTGCCATTAACAATGAGCTTGGTATATTCCTCTAGAGCTCTCAGGGCGGCTGTGAAAGCAAAACAGAGAACAAGAATCGGAAGCTATTCGGTGCCAAAATCACGGTCCTTGCTAACACTTACAATCAGACGATTAAAATAAAAGGTTACAAATCAAATCCCTGGTACACAAAAACGCTTCACCATCTTAACATAAAAAAGAAAAGGTTGTTTAGGCATGCTACACAATCGCTTACCGACATCGCATGGCAAAAGTACAATTTTATAGCTAGAATCTATAAAACCTATATCCTGGAAGCGAAAGCAAAATGTTTAACATTTACTTAGTAAACATTCTTCAAAATAAGCCTAAAAAAATTTAAGAGGGTATTAATTTAAAGAGAGCAAAACCTGTTGAGTTAATGAGTGATTGTCGCTTACGATTGTCGGACAAACAAAGGGCCAACAGGCTTAACCATTATTTCAGCTCAGTTTTCACGTCAGATAACCACGGCAACACGCGTCATCTTCAAGATTTGCACCATCCACCCATGAACGCCAATAAATAACGTATTCAGGAATTAAAAGCTCAATAGAAAGGATACAGTTATCATCGATTCCGGGTGACGACGAAATAATTCCAAACTACTGGAAAACACCAAATCAAATTCGGCTCGTTATTAATAATTATATTTCAGCAATCCTTATCTTCTAGCGAGTTTGCAACATACTGGAAGGTTAGCAGAGTTGTTCCCATCTATAAATCAGGTGAACGAACCTCACCATCTAACTGCCGTCCCATCTCTCTAACTAGTGTTCCGTGCAAACTTCTCGAGCATATCATTTACTCA